ATCTTTTACCAGAATCGGTATTCGGTTTAGGAAGAGACAAATCGGTTTCTCTATTTCTAAGATCATAGGTATTATCACATTCATTATTCAATCGAAAGGATGTTCTTCTAGCAAAATATATCAACACACAGTACATTGCAATTGTTTTTGTTCTTAAATTGCCCCTTCCATGCGCTCTTTCAACCATTAGAAACATAATAGCGTTAAATTAAACGGCTAAATTATGCTGGAGGAACCACAAATGTCTCTACATTTAAAGCTTTTTGAAACCGACACAGAGGTGAATGGACAAGATTACAATTAATTGTGACATTTTTCGTCGACAACAGCACTCTTCGCGGCTCCTGCCGGATCTATATTGACCCTGTTTCACACGCAATATTTTCCTTATTCAGTCGCTAACACACCTTTTGTATCTCACTATGAAGAACATCAACATTTCCACCAAAACCCCGAAAAAATAATCATTTTATATATAGACGAAAGAATAAAATATTTCAAACAATTTGTTTTGCTTTTGCCAACGCATGCGCAGTTCGGTCAACATACAGTTTTCTGTATGTCTGATTCGGATTATCCCAGAGCCTTCGTTTCCTTCCCAAGGATCGCAGGCTCGGGGAACGAGATTGGCTTTCTATGTATCTAGTCAGACAGGAAGAGCATTAAAATCACGGGTTTCAGAACACATGAAAGTAATTGGAGGAAACGAGGAAAATTCCAAGGTGGCACAACACGTCGCTGAAAAAGATCATGTGGTGGATTTTAAGAATGTTGAAATCATTGACCGCAAACAGAATTACCATAAAAGACTGTTTCTTGAAGCATAGCATTCAGAAAGGAATGCAAATGCAGGGAATGATCGTAATGACGTACCTGACATTTACGATTGTTTGAAACAATAGTTTAGTTAGTAATTTGCGTAATTATAACAACTGTAGTTGACTTGTTTACCATCATTTTTAAGTATCGACGAGGGTCGACGTTTTTCGTCCGAAACGTCTTAGTGTTTTTAACTTATATATAGTTTTTAGTATTAAAGATTTTACACAATTATGTCTATTCCTGGCTGCAATTAATTTTACTATTTTTTGTATTATATTGTACATATATCGTTGGAATCCGCGATATTGTACCTGATAAGTAAAATTGCTAAAGTGACTCCACTGCATGTTCAAGTCAGGAGAGCGAATTCATATTGTAATCTCTTCATTGCGTCTCTATCATCTCTACGTTAGCTCATATTGTAAATATAGATCTTTTGCATCCGGTAATGTACCTGCATGTATGCATAATAAGTTAAAAATTGCTAAAGTGATTCCATTGTTCAAGTCAGGAGAGAGAAAAATATCAAATTATGGACCTGTTTCAATATTGCTGGTCTTTTCCAAGACTTTGGAACATGGTGTCCATGTGCATTGCCGAATAATTAATTATTTAGATGTAAATAAGATATTAGTTGATATAATCAATATGGTTTCAGAAGAAACCATCCAATTTCTCTTGCACTGCTTCATTTAGTCGATACAATTTCTGCTGCTATTGATGACAAAAAGGAAGTCCTGGCTGAGGTTGCATGCTGAAAACCTGCAAACCGCATTTACTAACCCAAGGCTTAAAGATGTCAATGTTGACCTCCCGGACATACTTACTTAAGGTTACGTCACCACCGCTGCCTTGCCTTGCACAGGTATGGTCCTGCATTAAGCACCTTAATTCAAGGAAGGCAACAGGGATAGATAAAATCCCCGCCAGGTTTTTAAAACATTACTGTGACGATCTCACGCCAGCCATGTACATAGTATATCGTAACCAGTAGCATTACTCAATCCTAACTTCGGTATCAAAGATACATCAACCCAAAGATATTAACAACGACTTCAGGCGCTTTTTTACAATTGATTTCCAAACGTTTCCCGCGAAAGACGGTGTATAGCCTATCATACATACGTATTGAATGCTGATCATTCAAACGTGTGAAAACATTATTCATTTTACAGATGTCAGTGCTGGTATACTTTAATTTAGAGTATTTTACGTCGCGGTAGTAATCATGTGTTTATAAAATGCTCCACGTCCGTCGTCTGGCTTTTATCTACACCGATATTAGTATTCCGCTGGATGAAACAAGCTCATTAGTACCCGCTGGATAGGGAGGATTACCAACTAATGTTATACTAAGGGTTACTATCGCAAGGAAAGTGCTGCTTTGGATCCACAGGCAAATACTAAAATGTCAAATATATCTGAGGGCAAAATGGGCAAAATTATTTTCATTTGGCTTAAAATATATTTACATGTATACCCGTACAAAGAAACACTGTATGTAGGCTTATGTATGAATTATTTCATTGCAAAAATTGGGATTACAACACTTTAAAAACTGACTGTACAAAAACTATTTCAAGTTTACAAACTAACATATTCAACATATACAAATTAAAAGACGAGAGGGAAGAAGAGAACGAAGAAAGAGACATGTAGAATAAATGCACAACATACAAACATACAATACACGCACGGTAGAGGTAAACAGACACATATAGACAGAAATGACGACATGCACCGACACAGGCATGCACGCAATTCGAATGAACCGTACGCGTGATGCCCTGTGGCATGATGAGGCGCAATCGCGCACTGACCAACTCGTGCACGACCATGTTCAACAAAAGAAACATGAGTCATAAATGTTTATGTTAATGTCAATATAGGGCCATTCCATTTAATATTGTATAGATAATGGTATAAATAAAGTCTAAAAGAAAGTTTAATATTTCAAATTGAGGTCTATAACAGAGGAATTATATTATACGGTATGTTTGTTTACGCTCCTTCTATACTATGTCATGATCGTCTGTAATTTCTGTTATATCATCATCCGCCTCTGAGATTTTCATGGCAACATTATCTTCTCCTTGAACTTTACCATTAACACATCTATTCGAATTCCTGCTTTCAGTTAAATCAGAAAGATCGTCACTTGATAAATGCTCGATAATTGCACTCCCAACACAATTTCCCCACACATTGAGAGGTGTTGAAATTCGTGATCTGCAGAAATAAATATAATGTAGGCTAAATTTAGAAAATGGTTAATCGGAAAACAACTTATGTCAGGCTAACCTTGTATCGTTTAAAATCCAATGTGTAGGTAGATGCATTCCTCTCTTTTTGGACAGAGGATAAGTTTTTACACTCTCCTATTTACAGACATTTTTTTTTTCTTTATGGCTTATATAATACGGACTATCGTACGGATTATTACTTGTATCCTTCGTTCCAATATAAGTGATTCAGGGTATACATAAGTTGCACGTTTCGTCGCCGGGGTTGAACCATAGGCAGCCCAGATATGTATGTTGATTTTATTCTAGTTTCTGAAAGTGAAATAGCTTTAAACACTCGCGCATGGAAATTATCACGGTCGCGTGACGCTCGCGTGGGCATTGTCATCACGATGATTCATCGTATATAGAGGGCCCCCTATACCTCTTCACAATATGCTTTCACGTAAAAATATTTTGCCTTTTCACGAGTCACGGATTAAGAAAATCATGGATCACGTTTCACGGCTAAGAAAAATAAGCCCTTCACGCTTCACGCAAAACGTATAGGGGGCCCGATCACCAGGGGCGTAGCGTGCGGGGGGGTGTGGGGGGTGTGACACCCCCCCCAGTTTTAGTGAGGTAGTCGGTAAAACGCAAAGTTATTCGGTAATGGCAAGAGCCATGACAGCGGTCGGTAAAACAAATCGGTTAAAGTGGAATTTTGCTCCTCGGTAAATGGCTTTTAATAATAAAAAAAAATAAAATTAATATTGTGCCTTGTTCTCCAATAAAGTTATGCAAAATGTACGTAATTCTTCAGTATTAAAACACTTATATTAAATATCTACGCGTAAGCATTGGAGCCCCTAATTTCCTATCGTATTACACTTGCAAGAGCTGCGAAAACAGTCGGTTCTGATTGGACATGTTCAACTGTGCGCGAACTTTTGACCTTGATACAATGATACGCAAAAGAATTAAAGATTATATTTATATATTTGTTATTGACACGCGGTGCTCATAAAATGTTTCGCCAATTTTTCAAGTCTGTTCATTACAATAAACAACAAGATAAATGCCATTGGGTAAAATGACTTATCGCGAAGTAACAAAGACAACAATTATTCCAATTAATAAAGCGTTTGCTACGTTTCTGGTTTTACGTTATTTCTAGACGGCTGAGTGCTGACTAAAGTCACGCCGTCACGGTAAGTGTCATTAAATTAAACGCGCGCCGAAATATTTATTTGTCAATTGCTGTATAGCTGTTATGGTATATGTTATATGTAGCGTATAAGGGGCGGTCACGGATTCTAATAAAACCTCACGGTGAGCTCACACTCACAGTCTCACAGCTTGTTAATATCTGACGGATTCTCACGGATTTCGAAAATAACACAACTTCAACAATATGGTTTTGCTTGATATAAATAAAAGCTACCAAACCTTGTGTGTATAAGGTACAGAAGGCTCTGAAAATGCCATTTCCAACGATCTAGAGACTCCATATTTTCAAAAATTTTCCACTCGGCGCCAACCATGGTGGCGCCTCGTGGCGCGTGAGTCGGTAAAACTTAGATGTTACACCCCCCCAGTTAAAAAGGTCATGCTACGCCCCTGCCGATCACGTTTCACGGCGAAGTAAAATAAGCCCTTCACGCTTCACGCAAAAAGTATAGGGGGCCCTCTATATATATTACCTGGTTTTACAATGAGCATTGGTTCCGCCGTTGTACTATGGTGAGATCACATTTCATGCATCAGGGGACTGGCAATTAACGGGGGAGGGAGGATTATATATTAGTAATGGTAATATATATATATACGATGAATCATCGTGTTGACAATGCCCACGCGAGCGTCACGCGACCGTATAATTTCCACGCGCGAGTGTTTAAAGCTATTTCACTTTCAGAAACTAGAATAGAATCAACATACATGTCTGGGCTGCCTATGGTTGAACTGCTGGAAACAAAAAGGAACGATCTTAAACTCTACTTACACAAGCCAATCAACAGCGAGAATCAATGAAATGTCAGCAGATCGAATACCAATAGCTTGTAAAACTATCGTTTTTGAGACAATAGGCGCTGAACCAGGGACTGGAGCCGCTACCACTGACCCAATTGTTGAAGCCAAGCTAAAATGAAATGAATAACTATAGTTTACGTTGTGAATTGATCAGTCATGGCACACATTATTTGCAACACTCGCGACATGCAGTCTTATATTGAGCATATAATTATTAGAGAGCTTTGACTTTGACAGGTCTTGTTTTGCAGCCAGCCATTGAGGCAAGTTGCATGCGAACCACCTATACTTTGTTCTCAGATTTTGCGCTTAACAACGTCGCTTATATAATTCATTGTTAACAGTTGAAGCCATATTTCAACGTGATATATGCAAATCACGAAGGAAGTGGAATAAACCATGTCCGAGATTTCTGGCCATGTTGTTATAACTTACCATATTCCCTCTATTGAATCCCAAGCCTTTTTTAAGCCACCCCTAGCTCCCATTTAGCCCCCATTCATTATTAATTATGTCATTCTCAATATACACTTATATATGCCGACGCAATATGAACGCAAACGTTCTGCTCGCTGATAATATACTGCATAACTTTTACTGATATGGCTAAATAATGCTAAATTGTAAGAAAAGGTTTCCAAATGTATTTAGAGCGCTATAGCTCTATTTAGTCTCCACCCATTCTGTTATGTTTTACTCCCTCCCCCGCTAATTGCCAGTCCCCTGATGCATGAAATGTGATCTTACCACAGCACAACGGCGGAACCAATGTTCATTGTAAAACCATGTTGAGTTTGTGCAATATATATTGCACTCACAGCATTATACATGCCTGATCCACCTTTGTTAATAATTGTGCCAACTGGAATTATAAACTGAGAAATACGAGAGTCAACTTTATGTTTCGTTTCCAGGTCTGATAAGGCAATAGCCATGGTTGAAGAACTATATTAAAAAAAGATTGATATTTCAAATGGTGAATTAGCTGCAGATCGAACTAACACGCTTGTTGCACACTATGCAATATAACTTACTGGAAATTAAACAAAAAAGAACCGATTGAACAAAATAAGTGTGCTTTTTCATTAATTCTTCGAGAACAAGTGTAATTTACTATTAACATCAATTTATAGACGAGCAATCAACGACAAGAAACATTGTATTAGAATGCATTCAAGCGAGCACAGCCATATACGCTTTTGTCAATTTAGCACGAGAGTATAAACTGAATTATATATCTTTATTTTCCTTTCTCTTCCGTTCATGATCAAGAGCTCAGAGCTCATTGCTCATTGTTCATAGAGCTCAGAAAATATAAACTTACACGTTGTTTATTTAGATTTTGTGTTTAAATTTCTGCGCTCACGTGAGCTTGCGCAGGCTCTATATGACCCAAACGCACGTGGTTGTTTGAGCGCGCACTCTGGCCCCATTACACTCGGCGTATGTCTGGATGCGTCGATACCTTCGTGTTGTACCACATGCGCTTGGTGAGAGCACGCTCATGTGTAGAAAATAAATACGGAGGTATCATGTATCTAGACGTGTACCAAGCTGCACTGACGAAGCGTTGAACGCCGAAACATGCATGTCTGCAGATTGTACTATATACATATATATATATATATAGCTTAAGATTTTGGTTTACGAAACACGAACAGTGCTCAATACCATATAGATAGAGCGTAATAATTAATATATATAGCTTAAGATTCTGGTTTACGAAACACGAACAGTGCTCAATACCATATAGATAGAGCGTAATAATTATAGTTTTTCGTTTTACCTCAAAAAACCACAACAGTCTGTTTCATCCGTATAGGAATCATCATGATTCTATACGGATGAAACAGACTGTTGTGGTTTTTTGCGGTAAAACGAAAAACTATATATATATATATATATATATATATATATATATATTATATATATATATATATATATATATATATATATATATATATATATATATATATATATATATATATATACATACAATAATAAATCGTTGCCCGTTGTACAAAAAGAGTGCTCAATAACAAATTTAATTGATAGAGCAAAATATACTAATTATAATCTTAAAATTTTATTAATCGCTACACAGTGTTTCACGCTTTCAAAGCGATCTTCAGGCGATACTACTCTAAATAGTTTGCTTGCGCCATATATATATATATATATATTATATAAACATTTTCCATACCTCGATGCGGTTCCAAAAGCAGTCAACAGCGCTTTAGACATTCGAACAAGAAGTCGGAAAGGATTTCTTCTCAGTAATAAAAAGTAAATACCCGGCAGAATAACAATTCCATGTATAAGGCTACCAATTAACATTGTTACAATGTACTTGGCAAGACTTTCCATACTGCCTTTAATGTCTTTCATTCCTGTTAGATTTCCAGCTATGATACTCAGGATTCCAAAAGGTGTAAACCTATTCAATAAAAATATAACAACGCCTCTATAAGTAAATTTAAAACATTTTGCATGTAACAAACTTTTAACTATATCGCGGGAATGAATTACCTGAGTCATGGATTAACTATACGAGCATATATAAATACAAAGCTGATGCATTAATTGGCTTGCTTAGAAAAAAGGAATCATGATGTGATTCGTTCTGTAGAAAATATATTCTAAAAATAACTGTTCATACTATGAAGATTTGTTGCGACCCACGTTTTAAACCAATCCATCTCACCCAGCAAGGTCTTCGGGCGGGGAGATAAGTCCTTTGTTGTGCATGTTCGCTGTAGGCCGAATTTCATTAAGTTCACTTTTTACACGAGAAGATCGTGAATACTTCATACGTTTAATAATATATACATGAAAAAATTACTCAATTCTATTAACTATAAAGGGCAGTGCAATTGTTTTTGTAATTACTTCAATAGAATTAACAAAAGAAGAGTAGAGCCTGAAAACGAGACAGAATAAAGCAGCTAGTATGGCGACTGATATTGACAATTTAATGAATGATCTTATAATAATGATCAATAGTTTCATATAATTTTTTACTGCATCAAAATTACACATTATTTTGCACTATAAGTTTATAACATACATCACCACACAGATTATATATAAGATTTAAAATATTTAGGGTACGGAAAATTGAATGGCGAAATGCACCAGAGACTATAGAAACCCACATATCATATACTGCATATGTATCCAAACGCAAAATTAATATTCACACTCGCCGATATTGAATTACATTTTCCCTGAATATATTTCAACTTGTTGGATATTAGTAGATATTGTTACAGTTATATGCCTTGCTAGATATCGCTCTCGCTATCCATTGATCCTAGAGACTTATAATGTTCTGTACCCACGTTTCAGATTCTACCTGTTTGGGTGAGTGTATTTTATTGATAATCTTTAAGACTTGGTACCAGGTCTTGCAGCCAAGCTGCATTAAGGGCCGATCACACACAAACTCTGGGGACATTTCTGTGATCCAGTGAGGATCTGTGCACGATGCAGCATCGCAATAACGTTTGCAATGGGGATAGCTACGTTTCAGTGCTATTTTCCCCCGCTAATGATGATCCTGCCATGCGGTTCAATGGTGCCGCACTTTTTATAAATGAACAAACCAAGATAGCTATATAGATATCAAAAGATAAGACGGAGGTATATTGCTCAGTAAGCAATTTTATTTGAAAGATCGATTTTGAAATTTTCCTAACATGTAATCAGTGACGTCACGAGCATGCTTTTACTCATCGTTTGGCAAAAAGCTTTGAATTATCAGGTAGGCGAAAGAAAAAAGCATTATAAATTTTGGAAAATAAACTAGAAAAAGATGTTCAAAAATATCAACATTAAACATAACCCACCGTAATAAGGAACAAACTACTGCAATCTGATTGGTTAAGAGTAGTGCAATATTTCATTAATTGCATTCACCAGGTGTGATATAAATACGAACATATCACGGTAAATTAAAGTGAATGAAGAGATAAACATACCATATGAATAAATCAACCATCTTCATCATCACTTTAAAAATACATCCAACTAGTTCCACAACTGGTTTACCTTCTTCACCTAAAATACTCAAGATTGATCCAAACACAACTGAAATGGCAAGGACACCAACAAGATTTGCCGAGTTGTAATTTTCCAAGCCATCATAATCATACACCACATCATCTTCTTCGATTAGTTGTACATTATCACTAGATATGCTCCATGGGTTTATTACTTTGTTTTTAAGAGCATCCGAAATATTCCAAGCAGACCTCAAGTTACTTGAAGAATAGTTAACGAGTTTAAGTGATTTTGCTTCCATTTTATACTTGGTTGCGACCTGCATGGATCAGAAAATTATATGTATATTTATATGATATTTAAGTTTGAGTTCTACTAGTGTTTTAGTTTCCAGTAAATCACCATTGTCTATATATACATATATATATATATATATATATATATATATATATATATATATATATATATATATATATATATATATATATATATATATTATATATA